TGGGTCGTACTACCCTACAGTATTCCCAGGGTGCTAGTGGGGGCCGACTTGAGTGGACTTCATCGATTTGGACGATGATAGCGATGGAATACCTCGAAGTGCGTGGGTACCTGGAAATGTCGCCCAAGAACAACGAGGACGAAGGGACTAGACAACCTCGCCATGATCGGGTCCTTGAAGCCACGACGTAAATAGTCGCAACCCGCGGTCGGCGACTGATGGTGCATGCTGCATGTAGAGAGCGGAGGTTGGCCACCTGCTCCAACATGCATACCCACCCACCCACTCATGGCCACATCCTTGACGCACTTGACGCACCACCTCTTTGAACGGTGGATTGGAGCTGTCGAAGTACACTAGTGGCCAATCTCCAAACTGGGAGGGTCACCCGGACTCTTGATCGTGTTCTGGGTCGAACATGTTCAAGCCACAGGAGCACGGAGCTGCCTCGGTTTAATCAAGACGGAGATCTTACAAGGGTCGCTTTTCTCACCAATCTTCCATCATACATGTCTCGTCTTGAAAGGCGAAAGCACCGCCATTTTCTCAGATCATCTTGTCAATTTACGAACGCTAATCTCTCGCCTAGATAGAATCCTAGCCTCCATGCCACCTAAAAGGGAACCCGATTGCTTAGTAGATGCTTCACTCATTTTGGTTAAGCTGGTTGTATGTTCCATGCTTCAGTATACAGCACGCTTTTTCATCAGCAAATACCCTTGGGGTGGAACGGCTGTGACGTTATATGCATCCACCACTTTGTAGCGCCCACCATGTAGTTCAAAATCTGCTTGCCTCACCAAGGCAAGAATCCAGGCCTTAATCTCTGTAGCGAATTCCGCATCATGAAGTCAGCAAAATTCAAAGTCGTTAGATAACTTCAGAGCATGACCAAGAAAGAGGATCGGTGTAGGACTTCTCACCCATAACAGCTAGAAACCGTCCAGGACATGACCATCGACCGAGACCAAAAGCTAAATAATCTTGCCCCGCCGTGGTGGCTGACTTTCCAGTTCCGATCCAGCGCTCTGCGTCGAACTTATTCGGATCCGCTATCAGGTCTGGGGATCGGTTTGATAGGTATGTCACTGGGAATACGGGGGTCCCTATCTCACGTTAGTCTGCCTTTGAACTCGCCACCAAGGACGCGCCAGGATAGACAGAAACCTTTGGGGATTCTATGTCCAGCCAGTTCAACATCTCGAACGGCCACCCTTACTGCATTGACGGCATCCCCCTTCAGTCGTAGAACCTCCCTGACGAAAGAATCTGCCAGATTTGCATTTTGAAAGACCTTGTATTCGGACCCGGAACCAGACATTCCGCTCTTGACGAGAGACTCAGCCTCACCGCGGAGCGACTTCTGGCAGTCAGGGTGTAGCGCTAAGAAATACGTGACCCAGACGATGATTACCGCGCTTCAAGCATGTAAGTGTTAGCTGAGAAGAAAAACTCACGATTTCGAAGAATCTTACGTCTGATGGACGCTACCGAATATAACGGTCAAAATTAATATCATTGCCCATAGTTTTGAGAGGAACGACACACTCCCACTCGGAAT